AGTGTCATGCTGAGACCATGCTAACCTGAGACAAAGCAAGGCCGCATCTTTATATGTCTCAGCCTGGACAAAGCAAGGTGTCCCGTGCCACTCTTCACAAAACATGGGGCATGCCTCACCCTTGGCCAAAGTGAGTGACCGCCATTCCTCTACCCCTAACAACTTGTCTGTGTGCTAGTTTCCCCTCCCTAGAGATAGAATTTATCCAGGAACTCATCGTGGCATTATTCTGCTTTCTGCCAATAGCCAATCTGGAGTGAACCCGCTTTCTTAGACCCTGCCCCAAACTACCCAACGGAAGCCCAAATCCCTTCATAGGTTCTTTTCGGCACCCTTTGCTGAGACCCCCTGCATTCTCATTGCTGCAATGAATGGCAGGATTTCTGGAGAGGATTAGGTGTGCCGATTCACCCGATGGGCTGAAGTCATTGTCAGTGCTGTCATTCCATGGATCTCAGGCAGAGGCACAAACTGAGTATTCTAAATAGGGTCCCCCAGACATGAGGACCAAACAGCACTGCTTGTGAACCCTCAGTCACCCAGTACCTACCCTCACCCAGTTGTGTGAGCAGCCAGGGGATGGGGCTAGTGTGACACGTACGTGCTTGGCCGATTTGTGTGCATCTGAAGAGAAACCTGGCTGGCTCAGATATTGCTGGGTGCCCAGCACAGCTTTTGGGTTGAATGGTATTATGTGGATTTTGAGATTGCCAACAGAAGTATCTGGAACTTTCCAAGTTCTGACAGGATCAGGGATGGGCTGGGGTTCACTGGGGAGTGGAGGGAAACATCTGTCAAGGATGACAGATTCAAATCCCAACAGAAGTGGTGCAGGTAATGCAAATGTGGGAAGCAGACAGGTGTAAGAAAAGCAGCAGTTCATGCCCAGGAACAAACAACAGATACTCTCAACTTGCTACTGGGGGTCTATAGGGATTGGTAGGGACTGTGGCAAAGTTGAGAGAACAAGCCCAGCCCAGAAGGGCCTCCTGCTGATTGCTGCCCCAGAGACAGTGAGAACACAGTGCTACTTTCTATCTTGATTTTAAAAAATAAGAACTGGATTTTTGAGTGAAATCTACCAATTTGTAAACATTGGTGACAAAGTCAGTCGAAAAAACCTTTTAAACAGGACAGGTCAAACAAAACACGACTGCAGGTCAATCACATCCACAAGCCCCCGATGTGACTGCCAGCTCTAGGAAAGCAAGAAGAGAATGCGTCACCCACCTGGGACTTCCTTCTCTGACCTGGGCTTGCCAACAAGGGAGTTAAGTAGTTCCCAAGAATTCTGAGTAATAGAGAGCAGAGGCTGCCCATACCTGAAGGGGCCTGAGCCACTCACAGCCTCCACCTGTCAAGACAACTGAATCCTGTACCTACCACGGCCAACTGGCATCTATTTCATTTTGGTGAGGACATTTCTAACTGGACCGCACACCCCTGTTTTCTTATAAAGAAGGCTGCATTGAGCACATCAGAAGCCACACTATTCCATCCATGGCTTCCAAGGCTGTGACCAGAGGTCCCAACTCCCCGGTATGCTTGGGGACATCTGCTGTCACTTCTCCCTGCAGCAGCTGGCCTCAGGCTGGCATGTGGTGGCCCAGGGAAGGAGCTGCTTACTGGCATGGTTCGGTGCAGAGTCCGAGGGGGGTCTGAGGCCCCTTGGGTAAGGCTGGAAACCTTGAAACCTTAGCCCGAGGCTGGCCATTAGTCCCTGCCTGTCCTTAATGAAGGAAGGTGCTGGATGGAAAAAGAATGAGGCAAGATTTGAGGGCCTGGTCTTGCAATGCTCACATGGAGGCAAGCAGCAGGGTGCTTTTCATGGAGACTTGTCGACAGACGCGGGTCATTTACAGGCTCTGCTGGCTGCAGGGAACAGAAGCCTGGCTGGGTGGCTTTAGTAGGAGAGGACAAAGGAGTCTGGAGGGCAAGTGGGGGCTGACACAGAAGCTCCATGTGCTGCAGGGGGCCAGATACCACAGCCTTCCCACCCACATCCCCCATGTGCCGCCGTGGTCCTTGAGTTCACAGTTGCTGTCTTGGACTGAATGTCTGTGTCCCCCCAAGTTTATATATGGAAACCCTAATCCCTGATGTATTTGGAGGTAGGACTTTGGAGTTTGATGAGATCATAAGAACAGAGCTCCATGATGAGTCTAGTGCCCTTGTAAGAAAAAGACATCACAGAGTTCTCTCCCTCTCCCCCTCTCTCCCTCTCCCTCTCTCCCTCCCTCCCTCTCTCTTTCTCTCTCTCTTTGTGTGTCTCCCTGTCGTGGGAGGACACAGCATGAAGGTTGCCCTCTGCAAGACTTTACCAGGAACCGAAACAGCTAGCACTTTGGACTTGGACTTTGGCACCCAGGACTGTGTCTAGCTTCTGTTGTGAGCCCCCAGTCTGAAGTGTTTGGTTATGGTGGCCCGAGTGAACCAACATAGTTTCTAGGTATCAGTCTTAGGTTTTGGCAGGAGGAAGGGGCAAAGGCACAGAGTAAGCCCACTGGGTCTGTCTGTTTTAGTTAGACAAATGACAGCTTTCCTGGAAGTCCTCCAAGTGGACTTCCCCCTCATCTCAGAGGCCAGAATCAGGCCCGTGTTCAATCCTAATTGTAAGCAAGTCTGAAAACTCAGGTATTTTTACTGCACATATTTCTGCCCAGACAAAAACAAGGTTTTGCTCGTAAGGGAAAAGAGCGAATGGCCACTGCCAGGGAAACACAGAGTACAGGGTAGCTGGGACAGAGAACTAGCTGGCCCAGCCCCCTTTCAGTTAGCCAATATGGGGAGGGGATGTCTGGCTTTCTGTGGTCCCTTAGAGATCCATCCCCAGTCTCTCTCTCTCATGTATCTGTTTAGGATGAGTCACGTGTCTGTCTGTCATGGGGCCAGCTAAAGGAATGAGATTTGTGACCAAGGCTGCCCTGCCCTTCACAGTGAGGTCACAGGTGGGGGGTGAGGCCCCAAGCGTGGACAGCCACAGGACACTGAGGGAGCCTGCCCCAGTGGTAGCCTCCACCTGATTCCCTGCTGTGGCGCTGTATGTCCACAGGGCAGGGAGCAGGCCCTGACAGCAGCCGGTGGAGATACAAGGGCCAGGGACTCTTCTCTCCCTTTTGTAAGTCAAGGAAGAACAAAAAAGAGCTATAGCTGGGCTCAGTGGCTCAGCCTGTAATCCCGTACTTTTGGAGGCTGAGGTGAGTGGATTGCCTAAGTCCGCGGGTTCGAGACCTGCCTGGGCAACTTGGCTCGCCTCATCTCTACAATAAATCAAAAATTAGCTGGGCATGGTAGTGCACGCCTGTAGTTCCAGCTACTTGGAAGGCTGAGGCGGAAGGATCGCCAGAATCCAGCAGGTAGAGGCTGCGGTGGCCGGAAGCAGCCACTGCACTCCAGTCTGGGCGAGAGTGAGACTCCAACTCAAAAAAAAAAAAAAAAAGCCATCGTTACCTCTTGGCAGTGATCCAGGTATCCTGATTCTGTTATTCAGATTAGGAAACTGAGGATCCGAGAGGCCTCGGCCCTGCAAGTCTTGGCAGGCAGAGTCAGGAGAAAACTAAGGACAGGCTGCCCCCACATCACCTCTTGACAGAAGAAATTTTTATTTATACAAGAAATAAGAATCTGGAACTGAAGTTCTTGAAAGCAAATTTTGGCCTCTAGAATCCTTCTCCATTAGAATCAGACTTAAATCAATTAAATGTTTATTAGAGGCTTAGTGTTTCATGAATAAACTTGACTAATTGGGGGAAACGGGGGGCCTGTGACTTTGGTTGCTAAGGATGGGGAGTAGGAACTCCAGGTTCTGGCCCCGTCCTTGCCTGCCAAGAGTGGTCCCGCAGCAGGATGGTGCCACAGTCTGACATGGATTCGGGGGTTCAGGCACCCCCTTTCCTCCCAAGTTGCTTGTTCTGGGGAAGACAAAGGCTAGGCCTGGGTCAGCATGGGAACTGGATGAGACAAATGTCCCCACCCCAGCATGGCCATCTCTGGGGCTGAAGGTGCTCTCTCTGGGGGTCTTTCTCCTCACTTTCCTTACCCTACCACCTCAAGGGATGGGTAGTGCCATAGTGAAAGGCCCACAGCGCCCCAGAGTGGGGGCGGGCTTGTATGGAGGCAGAGGAGGGGCACAGGGCAACGGGGATGGAGGAGGTAAGGAGAGACCCTGAATGTGGGGGAAGGGCCTTCTTCAAAAGGGAAACCAGGAGAGGGTGGCTACCCAGCCCTCGTGCCCGGTTCCTGCAGCAGAGGCGGAGAGTCTGAATACAGCCACCCCTGGGTACCAGATCTGGGGGAGGTGCAAGGCTCCAGCCTCAGGAGCCAACGTCGCTCCTGCAGATCTCCCAGGTCTCAGGGACCCTGAGTGAGATCTGTTGTAAGCAGCCAGGCTTTGGTGGTGCCTGGGTGCGGGCCTGGCTTACTTATCTTAGGGCAGACTGGGCCTGTCCACTCTTACATCCTGCTTCCCCCATCCAAGATGCTGGACACAGCTCTCTGTTTAGTCCTTTATTTCCCTGTCTATTCTCTGGGTCAAGAGCTTGGCGGAGCCCACTGTGTCCCCACAGCCAGGGTGCCGAGGTACAGAAAGTGCTTGCACTGATGAATGGGTGGGTAGACAGACGGGAAGAGCTGTGTGAATGGTGGCAGGCAGCCAAGAGGCAGAGCGATGCCATTCAAGCTGGCCAGGGAAGGTTTGGTGGGGGGTTAGGACGGTGGGTCAGCGTTCATGACAGGAGACCACCAAGTTCCTGAAGTCGACTCCACAAGCTGGAGGACTCAGCCCTGAGCAGACCTTTACTGACCCTGGGCAAGTGTAGGGTCAAGGACAAATGGCCCCGCCTCTCTGGACCTCAGCGGGATTGTCTGTGAAATAGGCTGTGGCGGCACCCTGTCCAGGACACCTTGCAGGCCATGTGAGGCCAGGTGCGGAGGGCAGTAGGAAGCGGGGGTGCACAGTGTCTGGGAGGGTAGGGCTGGCCGAGACTGGGCCCTGGGTGCCCTCAGAGCTGCAGGGCCTGCTGGAGCACCCTCTCGTCCCCCAACTCGTGGGGCAGTGTCACCACCAAGCGGCTGTTCTCCTGCATCGCCTGGCAGATGATCTCGTGAGCCTTCCGATTCCCGGACCAGCAGCGCCGTGCCACCTGTGGGGAGGGAGGCTGCAGTCCTTGGTGCCAGCGTCACCAGGTCCCCCACACGCGTCCTGGCTCCCACACTCTGGGCCTCCTCCACTCAGGGCATTCGATGCCGTCTGTGGAGCCAGCCGCCGTTTGCACCCTGGCCTCCTCCTCTCCGGTCCTCCTCTCTAATCTGAAGCTGGCCGTCATTCCACCCAGCCCCTCGTGGGCCTGGACTCTGACTTCAAAGTCTCTCTCCAGATGACTTCCTTCCCTCTGCCTGGTCTCCCCCAGAATTTGACCCCAACCTCCTCCCCCCACTACCATTCTTGCCACATTCTCTGTCCACACAGCCCTTGCACCATCCCCCAGTGCACGCTCCATACCACAGCTCTCCTAACCTAGAACAAAACCTCAGCAGGGGCCCTCCCAACTCCCTCTGCATTGGAATGAAGACCCTGCCCCCTGTGGCTCTTGGGGCCCTCGGGGTAAGTCGCCTGCCAGCATGCCCTTCACTCTCATGCTCACCCTCTGGGTCAAACTGTCTGAACTCCCACCCCCGCTCCACAGCTTCATCCCTGTTCACTCACATCCCACACACCTTTCCCATCACCCCCACCCCATCTCCATTTGAGCTGCTGCTTCTTCCTGGCTGCCTATGATGTGGCCACAGGGAGGAGTCCTGCCCCAGGCCCCCACACCCAGAGGACTCTGTGTCACCGGTGGCTGCAGTACCGGAGCCCTTCAGCTTAATCTGCACCAAACGATCTGCCTTTGGAAATGGTGGGGAGATGGAGCTTCAACACAGAGGCCCCTCCACACCAGCAAGGGGTTGGTCCTCCAGGAGAAAAGGCTGGGACCGCCAGTGGCCACCCATGTGACAGAGGCATGGAGACCCAAAGGAGACTCAAAATAGCCCCAAGAGACATGGCGGCAGTCTGATGAGGAGGGAGCCCTGGCCAGAGAGGAGACACATGGCAGGACAGCCAGGCCAAGCTCCTGATTGGTTTCTGGGAACCAGAGGGACAGAACTTGTGCTCAGGTCTGCAGTGTGAAGAGGCAGAGCTGTGCAGGAAGAGGAGGTGAGGAGGTCTGGGGTGACTCACGCCATTGGAAACGTCCCAGCTGAGCATCATTCTGGCTTTCTGCTCAGCCTCCGGAGTCCCGTCCAGCACAAGGCCAAATCCCCCGTTGATGACCTCACCCCTGCAAGAGACAGAGGATTTCCAAGTCATGCCCTGGCTTGACCCTGCACAGAGCAGGCAGAAGTGCTTGTTTTGAAGCACTGGCTTGAGAAGGTGCTGGGGCTGGGGGAGCTGTGCCTGCCTGCCTCTGCAGCTGGGACCTGCATACTGATGGAAGCAGGAGTCTAGCAGTCGCTAGAGAAGCAGAACTGGGGAGGGCTCGGCCACCTGCTGGCCCCTTTGCCTGCCTGTGCCTCTGCCTCATGCCCACATCTGGAACCTCTTCATAGACACCTCCTGCTGGAGCCCCCCAGGGGGATGTGGCTTCCTCCTACCCCCCTTCTCAGAGTGCTGTCCTATAAAGCAGGAGTCCCCAACCCCTGGGTCATGGACAGGTCCCAGTTCGTGGCCTACTGGCAATCAGGCCACACAGCCGTGGGCGAGCAAGCAAGGCTTCATCTGTATTCACAGCAGCTCCGCATCGCTCACATTACTGTCTGAGCTCCACCTCCTGTTAGATCAGCAGCAGCACTCTCATAGGAGCACAAAACCTATTGTGAACTGCATATGTGAAGGGTCTGAGTTGCACATTCCTTATGAGAATTTAATGTTTGATGATCTGAGGTGGAGCTAAGGCAGTGATGCTAGCACTGGGGAGTGGCTGCGAATACAGATTAATGTTAGCAGTGAGGCTTGACTGCACGGAGACCATCATAAATAAATCGCTTGCAGATTCATATTGAAATAATAATTATTTTGTTATACATTACAATGTAATAATAATAAAAATAAAGTACACAATAAATGTAATGTGTTTGAATCATACCAAAACCATTCTCCCCACCCAATCCGTGAAAAAACTGTCTTCCACGAAGCCGGTCCCTGATGCTGAAAAGGTTGAGGACCGCTGCTACAAAACACACTCCCCTGGGTGTTTTAGGGTGTCTCCTATTAATTCAATCGTCATTCTTTCTGATTTTGTGTTTTTACCCTTCTTGTCCCTTTTTGCTACTTGCTTCAGGTATATTTTGGGCGCTTCTGCTTCCCAGTCTGAAGACTGAGTTCCTTTATGTTCAATGTCATGTTTTCTAGCGAAAGCGTCTCTCAAGGTACTGTTTTACCTGTCCCTAGCAGGTTCTGACACGCTCTTGTTTTCCCTTGCTTCTCAGCAGATGTCATCTGAACCTCAGTTATGTGTGCTCATGCTCTTTGACTATGTCCTCATTTGCCCTGCTGTTCTTCTCCATCCACCTGGATGATCTCCTCCGTCCCACTCTTGCCATCATTGTCAGGACTTCCATCCACGTTGCTGCCCTTGTGGATCTGGCCTTGGCTCCCGCTTGTCTGTCTCAGCTTTCAGCCACACACACAGAAAACAGCTTGATCTTGTTAGCACCTGTCACTGCTTTGCCACCGGCACCTCCCTCCGGCCTTATTCCACACTTGCGGTAGTATACTCCCTCTCCTTTCTGCGCCTGAAATGTGCACCTGTTTCCCCTAGTCTCAGATCCCGCAGACTCCCCCCCACCCCTGCCATACCTGCTTGGACCCTGCTGTTTGCCATCAACAGTGACGGATCCTAGGGAGCGAGAGAGCTAGGCTCAGATTCTGGCTCCACCAGCAGCTCCATGGCCTTGGACAAGTTCCACAGCCTCCTTCAGAGATATTCCCTCACCCTCCAGAGTCAGCACTGAGATGCTAGATACCCAATACCAGGCAGCCCTTCTCCTGGTTTTCTCCAGCCCGTGTGTTGGAAAGGACATGCACTTGGTCACAATTTCCATTAACTGAAGCCACCTGACTGGGCCACAGCTAAGAGCTGCATCCTCGAAGGGCACAAGGCCAAGCCAGTCCACTAGAATGCTCTGGGACTTGGCTCTGGAGGACAGGGGAATTGCTTGATCCGGCCAAAACGGGCTGAGAGCTCAGTTCAGGGATGGCTGCTAGAGCCAGGCCTGGGAGAGGTCCTCCTCTCTGGAGCTGCAGTGCCTCCTGCTGCCCACAGTAGCGAGGACTCCAGCTAAGGCCACAGAGGCCAGACCTGGAGCTATTTCTTTTTTTTTATTTTTTGAGTTGGAGTCTCACTCAGTTGCCCAGGCTGGAGCGCTGTGGCACGCTCACGGCCACCCCAGCATCGACCTGCTGGGCTCCAGTGATCCTTCCACCTCAGCCTTCCAGGTAGCTGGAACTACAGGTGTGCGCTACCACACCCAGCTAATTTTTTATTTATCGTAGAGACAAGATCTCGCCAAGTTGCCTGGGTTGGTCTCAAACCCATGGGCACAGGCAATCCACTCACCTCGGCCTCCCAAAGTGCTGGGATTACAGGCTGAGCCACCAAGCCCGGCCGGACCTGGAGTTTTTGCAGAGCAGTTCATCAACCTCTCAGTGACTCGGTTTCCTCATCTGTCAAATGTACTTTCCTTTCAGAATTAGGCAAGAGAGTGGATTTGAAGAGTGTAGCCAGTGCTTGCCATATGGTCTGTGCTCAGTAAACATTACTCACTGTCCCTAACAGTGGAAATCTTCCTGATGGAACTGTGAGTGGCAGGCAGAATAAGACCCTCCCAGGAATCCCTGTCCCTCATAGAACAGACGGAAACAGGCCTGGGCAGGGGCAGAGCTGTGAGCCAGGGACACAGGGGAGCCTAGAAGCTCAGTGGGCCCTGCTCCCTCAGGGGAGATGATCAGGGTGGAACTAAGAAGACCTTGGCCAGGAAAGCACTGTGAGAACCCCAGGAGAAGGAGCCCAGGAGAAGCTGCCGTGAACACACCCTAAAACTGACACAAAAGGAACAGTTGCTGTTCTTACTGAGCCTCCACAACTGGCTCCGTGTCCTGAGGGACAGGTGGGGCCCAGAGAGAGAGTGTGGCCTGTGCAAACTCTCCCTCCCTGAACACGTCTTCAGCAAAGCCATTGGCAGAGGTGGTGACTGGGGAGGTAGGGTCTGGGACGTCAGCCACCCAGCCTGGCCCTGCCCCAAGGGAATCAATCCCCAAGATGTCGGCCCACACCCCATTCCCCAAAACCTTCTTACCAGCCCACGCCTCCTCCGTTGTGAAGCGCGACCCAGGTGGCTCCACGAAAGGCGTCACCCACAAAGTTCTGCACGGCCATGTCTGTGGACACAGAGAAGCCGCCACTCACCACTGCCTGCACAGGGTGGGTGCCGGGCCCGGCAGGCTCAGGTGGGGATGAGCGTGGTCGTGGGCTGCCTCCGATGGCTGAGCTTGGCCTGAAGGCCCGGTGACAGCTGAGCAGATAGGGAGCTAGGGACAGGCCCTCTAGAAACGGCAATCATGTGTGTTTGAAGAGCCCTAGTGGATGCAGGAAAAACCAGCGAATGCCTCACTGTCCCGTTATCCTTCCCTGTAGCCATCCTCTCCAGTACTGAGTGCCACACGCAGTGCTCCAGGGAAAAAGGAGCAAAGTGATTTAAAGGGGAGTGTGGGACCCACATTAGCCCAAAGGTGCAGAGTATGACCCTCACCCTTACAAGGGGGCTGAAGGAACAAACTGCAAACAACATTCCTTGACCCCTTCACCGCACTGAGTTCCCAGGACAGCCATCTGACCTTAAACCTGGGGGGAGAGGGCATCTGTAGAGAGAAACAGAGCCCAAGCTGGCCGCCCCCAGCATCCAACATGCTGGTTAGGGGTAGGCATGAGTTGGCTGGAGATTGTGAAGCCTTGGGGACACAACTTGAAAGGGGTTTGCATCCTCTTACAGACTCTTCCTCCAAAAACCCCACTGGGTGCTCATAGAGAATGCCAGGGAGAATCCCAAGAGCATTCTCCTCCTCCTCTTGATGCTGGGCCGTGAAGATGGGGAGGAGACCACGAGCCAGGAAATGCAAGAAATGCAGCTCTGGGATCTGGACGAGGCAAGGAAACCGCTGTTCCAGAGTCAGAAGGCTGCCCAGCCGGTGGCAGGGTCAATGCACATCCAGTCCCAGTCGCCTGGCACTAACCCAGTTTTAAATGGGATGACCCACATCCCACACTCTCCTCGGTCCAGGTTGGTCACCCCACACCAAGTCTCTCAGACACCAAAGCTCCTTTTGCCACAACGTGGCTGACTGAATGAACCAACCCATTTCTAAATAAAATACAGCTCTAACACTAAATTTTAAAACACTTTTGTTCTCACCTGCACAGAAGGCAGAGCCATCGTAAATGTTGGAGGTCTCCCTGAAGGGGCTGTCGGTGCCACTCACATCATGGTGGTCTCGGCTCAGGACCACTGGTGCCTGTGCGTGGAAGGATAGAAAAGTCAACCAACAGAGTCTACCTCGGCTGCCCGGCGAAGGCAGGGGCCAAGGGGCAGACCACACCAGAAGCCTGTTGGATCTCTCCCCCTTGAAAATAGACCCTTTTCAGCAAGAGGATGTACACACTGTTTCTGATGTCATCTGTAGCTAATAATAGATGACTGGTATCACACCCATTTTATAGACAAAAAACTGAGGCACAGAGCGGATAAGAAACCTGTTCTATATCACAGAGCTAGTGAGTGAGTAAGCTGGGATTTACACCCACATGTTATATACAGATGCTCCTCGACTTATGATGAGGTTACATGCAGATAAACCCATTGTATCCTGAGTTGAAAATGATGTAGGACACAATGTATTTGTCGGAATGCAGTCCCACCATAAGTCAGGAAAAGTGCTGAATGTGTCTTGCTTTTGCACCATCAGAAAGTTGGAAAACATTACAGTGGGGACAGTCCATGCTAAAGTCTGGGCTCTGCCCTTAGGCAGCCTGGCCTCTGAACATGGGCAGTAGGACAGTGGCTGGCAGACAGCCTGGGGGGGGGGGGGTTGGTGGGCGTGGCTGGGGGAGGCCAGTGACTCACGGGAAATCCAGCAGTATCTTACTACGTGACCTTGGGCAGGTCACCTTCCATATAGGCTCTAGTTTCCTGAACAAGGTCATTGCTAAGAGCCTTTTATGCTGCCAGCCTCTGTGAGGACAGAGACGTCTCACGTGGTAA